TGTACAGACTGATGTTGACACCAGTGTGGCACAGTAGTTGTACAGACTGATGTTGACACCAGTGTGGCACAGTGACGTACAGACTGATGTTGACACCAATGTGGCGCAGTAGTTGTACAGACTGATGTTGACACCAGTGTGGCACAGTAGTTGTACAGACTGATGTTGACACCAGTGTGGCACAGTAGTTGTACAGACTGATGTTGACACCAGTGAGGCACAGTAATGTACAAACTGATGTTGACACCAGTGTGGCACAGTGACGTACAGACTGATGTTGACACCAATGTGGCGCAGTAGTTGTACAGACTAATGTTGACACCAGTGTGGCACAGTCGTTGTACAGACTGATGTTGACACCAGTGTGGCACAGTGCTGTACAAACTGTTGGAAAGTAGTGGCCACATGTACAAGTACGTAGAATATTGTATTATTTTGTAAAGTTAATTCTAACTTATAATACTCCCTAATCTGTTAATTACAGGCAGGGTTTAAAGGGATGAAGGCAAGGAAGCAAGTCAGTGATATGAAAACAGTAAGATACCAGTTCTCTTTTGACTTCTGAGCCAGAGACCCACTCTTTATGTTTTCTTTATGTAGATCTCCTGTCTTGTGAATGATCTGAAACTTTCATAGTCTTTTTTAACAGTGTGAATCTGCAAATAGTGTTTTCTAGTGCTCTGTCTGTACGTTTCATGTGGCTGCTGTTAACAATGTGGATCTACAAATATTTAAGTGGTTGTTTTCTAGTGCTCTTTCTATACATTTCATGTGGCTGTGGTTAACAATGTGGATCTACAAATATATAACTGAATGTTTAATTTCTAGTGCTCTGTCTGTTATATGTGGCTGCTGTCTTTTGTCTCATCTGTTTTAATTGTTACCACCTGTCACAATGAGTGTCACCATTTCTTCACCAACCCTCTTACCATGGCTGCCTGCTCTCTCTCTCTTGACTTGTTCCTGTAGATGGCCCTATGTCTCTAGTTTTCTATCCTGGTTCCCCTTATATGTTATTTTTGGTGTGTTTAAGTCTGTTCTTGTTCTGTGAATGTTTTTTTCATTCTGTTTTTCTTCACTATTATATAGACTTTTTATATTTTTTCCACAAATTTTATTTTCATTCTTTTAAGTTTTGGTTCTTTGCAATTTTTCTGTCAATCTATTTACTGCTTTAACAATTGATTGTTGTAATGATATCAGTTCACTGGTTTACCCATTGTCACTTATTCTGAGTTTGTCAGCATCCACAATTCAACTAAGCTAAGAAATTTCTTGTTTTCAAAGTTTGTTCTGTTATTATTATTGTTATATAAACTTTGTTTTTGTAAAATGTTTACATTTTTAGTGTAAGTGGAATGCAATTAAGCAGACATGTGTTCTTATGTTAAATGCTTGATTTGTATATAAATACATTGTGAGCTACTGCAAAATTTTAATCATTTGTTTGATTGTTTTTGCATGGCTTTGTCTAAATCATGAAAATGTATGCTGTTTTTTTTTTATTTTGCACAAATTGCACATTAACATGACTTGAAATTTTGTTGTTGTTTGCATAATATTATTGCATATATTTAGTTAATCATCTCCAAGTTTTCACTGTAAGCATATCACCATCCAGATGATAGTGCACTATTATTATATTAACCAATAGCTTTGCATTGTTTAGTATTGTTTTGCTTCTGCTTTTTCCAACCAGTCAGCACATGATGACGCTAACATGGCACCCTCACAGGAGCCTGCTTCTGCCACTGTAGAGGAGGAAGAGGAGGAGATAGATATAGATCTTAATGACCCAGAAGTAGAGAAAGCTGCAACTAAAATCCAGGCTGGCTTTAAGGGCATGAAAGCACGCAAAAATGTGAAGGCTGTTAAGGTTTGTGATTTTGAAGTGGGATGTCTTCTGTCTTGACTGGAGATATGTGATTTTGAAGTGGGATTATCTTCTGTCTTGATGTCCTTCCTGTGCCCTTATGCCAACCCATTTTTTTCACTAACAGTTAGACTGCATTTACATGTACAACGAGTTAAGCCATGGTTCTACAAATCCACGATCTAAATATGGCGGACGTACATGAAAGAAAAACCGCCTAATCTTTTCATAGTCTCTCGGCCTCTCACACGCCTCCCCATGTGTCATCCCAATGGAGCAGAGATTTAATGACTGTACCCCCGCAGGGACGACACATGGGGAGGCACGTGAGAGGCGGAGAGACTATTAAAAGATTAGGCATTTTTTCTTTCATTTACGTCCGCCATATTTAGTTCGTGGATTTGTAGAGCCATGGCTCAACTCGTTGTGAATGCGGTCTTAGATACATGGATGCAATAATTTTGAATGAGCCACTACTAGCACATTGGTACTAGGTTTTGGGAGTTGACAACTATTTGCTCACTTCTTGG